GGAACAGGGTGGGTTGAAAGGGACTTCTTTAGGTCTTCTCATCCAACCACCATGCAAGGAGACACCTCCCAAGAGACCAGGTTGCTCCACGCCCCAGCCAACCTGACCTTGGATGTTTCCAGGGATGGAGAAACCACCACCTTGCTGGGCAACACGTGCCAGTGTTTCACCACCTTCATTCCTCATCCGGGCAGGACCACCTGGATGCCACCAAGGCTGATGGCACGGGGTAGGACCCCCGGTGTCTCCTGCGGAGTCCCCATCTCACCTTTCCTGAAAGGTGTGAACTGGAATCCGGGCAGGTACCGCCGGAGCTTGGCATTGCTGGCCGTCTTCTTGAACTGCCCGTCAGACTTGGAGGTGTCAAACTGGGATGGGAAGGATTAAGGAGGGAAAACGGGTCTTGCTTTTGCTCCTTTGGTGGGAAGGATCCTCTGGATCATGGAATCTCCCAGGGGAGCTCAGCCTTTTGTGAAGGATACAACGAGCTCTCCCCTGAATTCCATGGCCTCCGCGATGGCCTCTGCCGCTTCCCGGATGGAGACTTCATCTTCTTCTCCCACTGTGGAGAAGGGAAGGATCGTGGCTGTTCCCCCATGGAGAAGGGACTTCTTGGGGGCAGCCAGGGCTCACCTGACAAAATTATTGGTTCCACCTCATCGTATTCCCGCAGGACCCAAAGGAAAAGTCGGGCCAGGTCCTGTGGAAGAGCAGACAACTCTTGGAGGGGTCACTGATATCCCCCAACCTTCCATTCCCAAGGGGACACAAATCTGGAGATGACCCAGGAGAAGCCAGGGGGGTTCAGACCCCTCTGTAGTCCTATCAGTGGGTCCTCCAGCCCCATTCCCTGCTTCCCAAGGCCACACCTACCAGGGAATAGATGAACTGTCTCCTGGGCTTGCCCGTTCCCCAGACGGTCAGAGCAGAGCCGGACTCTGAAGGAGGAAGGAGCCATGACCACCAGAGCCACCTCTAACCACCCCACAGGTGCGAAATAAAAAAAAAAAAACTCATTTCTCCCCAGAAAACCCCTGGAAGTCCTGCCACCCTCACGTTTGGCCAGGTAGACCTTGTGGATGAGCCCCGGCAGGACGTGGCCATCCTCGATGTTGAAGTTGTCGTGCGGCCCGAAGACGTTGGTGGGAATGACGGCGGTGAAGCGTCGGCCGTGCTGCTCGGAATAACCCCTGGATGAGAGCAGGGAAGGGACGGTGGGTGGGCTGTCAAGCCCCTTCCTCCAGCACTCATGCGCCCCCAAAAAAAACCCCGGCCAGCAGCACCTTCAACAGCCGAGCCCAGGTATCTCCCCAGCTTCCACCTGGAAATCCCACTGGATTTCCCCTTCCCTTGAAAGCCATTGGCTGCTCCCACGTCCCCAGCTCACCTATTTTGGACATCAATCATCCTCTTGGCGTAGGAGTAGCCAAAGTTGGAGCTATGAGGCGGCCCGTTGTGGATCTGGGAATGTCAGAGCGGGTAAACTAAGCAGGGCGAGGGGGTTTTCCCTGGATTTTGCGTGGGAATTGGGGATTCTCACCATGGTCTCGTCGATGGGATAGGTGGTCTTGTCTGGGAAGATGCAGGTGGAGAGGCAGGAGACTACCTTCTGCACCCCCGACTCGTGGGCCGAGTGCAGGACGTTGTCGTTGATGTGGATGTTTGTCCTCTGGGAAAAGGGACATTTGTCAGGATCGTGGGGTCGGGGATCCCCAAATCCCTTCACCAGCAACTCATTAATAACTCCAGAAACCCCTGGAGCTCTGGTTTGGCTCTGGAAGCAGAGCAAGCCACATCCCCGTGTGCCCATATCCAAATTTTCGGATCCCGGCAGTGCCGATTCCGTGGGTGCTCACCCAAAAATCCAGGTTGGAGCGGATGTTTTTGAAAAGGCCTCCGACCATGGCGGCCAGGTGGATGACGTGGGTGGGCTTGTGCCTCTCAAACAGGGCTTTGGTCTCGGAGCTGCTCCTGGAATGGGAAATTTTGGGATTCAGTGGGGTCAGCAGAGCAAATGGAGGCGTTTCCAAGGAAAAATCCAATCCTAGGAGAGGAAATGTTGGGGTTCGGTGGGGGCAGATTGGGGAGTTTCTAAGGAAAAGCCCAATCTTGGGATGGGAAAATTTGGGATTGGGTGAGGTCAACAGAGCAGGTTGGGGTGTTCCCAAGGAAAACCCAAATTCTGGAATGGAAAATTCTGGGGTTTGTCAGGGCCAACAGAGCAGATTGGACTTTTTCCAAGGAAAAATCAAATCCTGGAATGGGGAAATTTGGGATTCAGTGGGGTCGACAGAAAACATTGGGGTATTTCTGAGGAAAAAATTAATTGTGGGATGGAAAGAATTAGGATTCAGTGGGGTCAACAGAGAAGAATTGGGGTCTTTTCATGGAAAAACCAAATCCTGGGATGGGAAATTTTGGGGTTTGTCAGGGGCAACAGAGCAGATTGGGCTTCTTCCAAGGAAAAACACAATCTCTGGAATGGGAAAATTTGGGGTTTGGTGGGGTCAACAGAGCAAATTGAGGCATTTCCAAGGAAAAACCAAATCCATGGATAGGAAATTTTGGAGTCACCAGAGCAGACTGGGGAGATTCCAAGGAAAAACCCAATCCTGGGTTGGGAAAATTTTGGGGTTTGTCAGGGCCAACAGAGCAGACTGGGTTGTTTCCAAGGAAAATTCAAGTCCTGGAATGGGAAAATTTGGGATTTGGTGGGGTTGACAGAGCAAATTGAGGCATTTCCAAGGAAAATCCAAATTCTGGGATGGGAAATTTTGGGGTGACCAGAGCACTGGGGAGATTCAGAGGAAAAACCAAACCCAGGGATGGGAAAATTTTGGGGTCACCAGAGTAGACTGGAGAGATTCAGAGGAAAAACCAAATCCAGGGATGGGAAATTTTGGGTTTGTCAGGGCCAACAGAGCAGACTGGGTTGTTTCCAAAGAAAAAGCAAACCCTGGAATGGGAAAATTTGGGATTTGGTGGGGTTGACAGAACAAATTGAGGCATTTCCAAGGAAAAACCAAATTCTGGGATGGGAAATTTCAGGGTGACCAGAGCACTGGGGAGATTCAGGGGCAAAAAGCAAATCCAGGCATGGGAAATTCTGGGGTTTGTCAGGGTCAACAGAGCAGATTGGGTTGTTTCCAAGGAAAAATCAAACCCTGGAATGGGGAAATTTGGGATTAAGTGGGGTCACAAAAGAAAATTGAGGCATTTCCAAGGAAAAAACAAATTCTGGGATGGGAAATTTCAGGGTCACCAGGCAGATTGGGGAGATTCAGAGGAAAAACACAATCCTGGGATGGGAAAATTTGGGGTTCGGTGAGGTCAACAGAGCAGACTGGGGTCATTAAGTGGAAAAAACAAATCTCACAATGGGAAATTTTGGGGTTTTTCAGGGTCGACAGAGCAAATGAGGCTATTCCAAGGAAAAAGCAAATTCGGGGATGGGAAATTCTGGGGTCACCAGAGCACTCTGGGAGATTCAGAGGAAAAAACAAATCCAGGGATGGGAAATCATCAGAAACAGAGCAGA